GGGAAACAGCATTTCAGTTGCTTAGAAAAGACACTTCACACACCACGATGTGCAGGTAAGAAAGACTCTTAGCATTTCTGCAGTCCACAAAATCTCAGAATGCTGCCTAGAACTTCCCACTACCATATCGATCTCCAAGTTTGTAAATACATCCTAAGATGACACGAGAAATGCAGCTGTGGCAGCCAATCTAAGGTCAAGGGCAGTTTAACTTTCTGAATAATCCTTTTTACATCAAATGTAGAGAAAATCTGTAGTGTTCTGTTTGTCACAACTTACTGCTACATTCCACAAGTTTCTGGTGTTTATGACTGCAGTAAAGTAGCAGATTAATGTGGCAAGTTCCAATTACTGCAAGTGCAGATTAAGTTTGGAATTATTTCAGATTTTGATCCTCTTTGTAATTAATTTAAAATATTAAACTAGACTGAGGGTACCCAAAGGTTACACCTCTCTACATTCCAAGAAAAAAAAAACCAACCCAACTTATTCGTGACTTTTGAGAACTTAATAATACCCTTACATTTAATAAGGGTATTATTAAATAATACCCTACTTAGCTTTGTTCCCCCAGAGGTAATCTGGAACGGTAACCTGGTAATGTGGACAATACCCTGTGCTACCAGGTGTAGCAAGGTCCACATGCTAGTTTACTGTGCTGAATGAAAACTTAAGGCTGAGTTACACCATTACTACCCTCTCTTTAGCAGGTAAGTGAGAGAGGTTTCTCTCTGTAAGCCAGGTGTAGACAGGAGCTCTCAGGCAGCAAATTCCTGGGTTCCTGCAGGGCTATATTTTTAGTTTATTCCATCACACTTGTGAAATAGGAATGGCACTTCCCTTCTGGGCAAGGAGGTGTAAGGATAAATCTGTGTCTGGAGGCAGATATGATGCTGAGGCACATAAATGTATCTGGAATACTACCTGTTAGGAAGAATACATTTGTTTTAAATGTTACTGTCAAGACCTGGCTGTATTGCTTACACATTCTCTTGCTAAGCCTGGTGTCTCTGTATGCTGCCTTCATCTTGTACCTGCAAGGAGACTGACCTTCTCCGAGATGCCACTGGGACAAGAATCAGCATGCCCCTGTACAGGATGACCACTTACTAATAAGAAAATAAGAGTAAACCTTAGTGTTTTAGCGTTTTCTTTTAATTGAGCTGCTTGAGGTAAACGCTAGGCTCTCTACTAGGTTTGCGCTGAGCAGTGAAGACTGCACAACAACCACAGAATGGTTTGGGTTGAAAGGGACTTCAAAGCTTCTCTAGTTTCAACCTCCCTGTCATGGGCAGAGACACCTCCTACTAGACCAGGCTGCTCAAAGCCCCATCCAACCTGGCCGTGAACACTTCCAGGGCACAATGTCTCCTGCTAGATGTTGTGCCATTTTCTGTAGCAGCCTACGCTAGCTGGTGTGTTCTACCTCCTACTCTCGCCTAGTTCTGACAAACTGTGTGTCGTGCCTGCAACACATACTTACTTAAGTGCTAAGGGTAAATGCAGATGGGAAAAGTTGTCCTATTATGTGACTCAGTTGTAAAAATGTGATCTTCCTGTTTGTTTGAATTGGTGAGAATATTTTTAAGTTAATATTTTTCTATTTCTAAACAAAGTGTGTGGGGGGGAAATAAACGGCCCAAAGCCTTTTTTGTTAAATAGACTGAAACTGAAATGCTGCAAGGAAAGAAGCTGCCAAACTGCCATTTAAAGCCCTTGAATATCCAGGGCCTAGGGAGATGTCCTGCTGTTTAGTGCCTGATCACTAACCTGATTAACAGCCATTATGCAGCATTCGGTCATGAAGTGCTTAAGGAAATACAGACCCAGGTGTCTTTTGGTGGCTTAAAAGCAGACCTGCTCAGAAATAAGGCTAAAAGGATATGAATCAGCAGCCAGGGATGTCCTGGTGACCTGCAGGGTTGTAGGAACCTCACTCTCTGCCAGCCCCTTCACTGTGCTGGAAATTCTGTGGCAGCAGAAGGTGCATTTGACTCAGACAGCAATGCTGCCAGGGCTCAAGAAGCTCCTCCATCCCCACAATATGAGAAGCTTTGCCTGTTTTTGTTACAGCTGGAATGCAAAGAGAACGCTGCACAACAAGAACATTAACTGAACAAAAGCCACGTGCCTTTAACACGTCATGTGTGGGTTATGCGTACAATAACTGAAAAAGTGGCATTTTTACTATTATGCATCTTGTTTCTCTGGAATTAAGCAACATAATCAGTAATTCAGCTGGATATAAAATAATTTCACAAAGATCTTTTCATTACTCATGGTTTAATTCAGTACAACAACTACTGCTCTTAACAATTCTCAAGGTTTCTCTCGATTCATTTTTCTCAGGAGTGATGCCCAGGTTACTGAAGTCTAAGCAGGGCCAAGAACACCACTGTCAATTTCCATCTTTGAGCCAAGAAAACTGCCTGTGAGTGACCATGGTACAATGCTGCTCTTTGCTTTTTCATCCTGAAATCAGATACCTGTTCTGCATTCTTAGTAAGGCCAACATCTGTAAGTTACACTCACTATCTCAGAATTAACATGAAACAAGAAATACTGCTCAGAAACAGTAGAGGAGTTTCTAGGTGGCCCAAAGAACTGTCTCATCAGAGTTTTACTGAGATGTTAAATAGATGGTTTCAGCATAGATGATTCCCTGCTGCTGAAATGATGAGAACTAAAAAGACCATGGGTCAGAGGCTTTTGTACCAAGGCACAGCTGCTCAGCAGTAGCTGATTCTCCTGGTCTTCCACCATAGAAGATACTTAAGTGTTAAGACTTGAGAGTATTTATTTATTTATGGTAGTACTTGTAAATCAGCATGATTCTTCTACCAATGCCTAAACCTGAAATTTTACTTGACAGCTATGTAAAAATGACAGCAAAGTAGACATGAGAATTTAGTTTGGGGTTTTATTATAAAAGTAAAATAAAAATAAGCATTTAAAAAGCACATTTTTTTTAAAGGAAGCGATATAAAAAAACTATTTACAACAGGAAAATGCCGAACTGGAAAAATTTTGTGAATAAAAGGCACCAAAGTTAGGTTTAAATACATTATTTGAAATATACAAGATTTTTTTTTTAGGATTATCTTTTCTCCAGGTTGTCATTGTGGTGATTAAAGTAATAATTTTTCTTCGCCACCTATTTTATGAGCTTTTTTCATGCAATTGTGCTGCAAAAACTATGAAAAGAGCAGTTAGAAACTGCATCCTTTGATTGCTGTGTGCCTTACCTCTTCTTATTGAGTTGGTATTATGCACTAACAAGGAGTGACTTTCATCTATAAAGGAAAATCCTCACAAGCCAGAAAAGCTCAGACAGTCATTCCACAGTGTCCAGTCCTGTGTATTGATGTGGCAGTAGAGCCCTAGTTATTGTATATGGTGTGTAAATGAATATGATTTAGATGTACTTGAGGAAGAATGCACTGGCTCGGCGTTGAAGTCACTGTTGGTTCAGGTTCATGTGTGGTTCCTCCAGTACGCTTTTGGTTGTCAATTCACTTCCCTCTGGCCAGGATGACAGTGATGTAGATGTCCTGTAACTGCATACTTCTAACTGAATATTGCTAGTTGGCTATATAACTGCTTTGCACCGAACTTTCATGTCCGTAGCCCAGGGTCATTTTGCTAAGTGTTACTGATGACTTGCTGCTCAGAGAGTCCGAATAAGTAAAGCTCAGTTTGCGGAAGGAGGTCTCCACACCACTGTCACACACGCTTTCACTGTCTTGAAATTTGCTGTTGTAGAGCTCACCTGAGGGAGAGAGAAGAGGGAAATACCATTTGTGTTGCTTCACTAATGTTGCTTTCAGAAAAGCCTAAGGAATGTAAATCAATAGGGTTAAAGATCTTCTTAAATAGGAAAATACCTCTACCTTTAGACAGTGGAATAGGAAAAGCTGTGCTGAATGTTTTCGGTTGACTGAAGCATGTGATCTGATGCATTGCTGGCAGAGACTGACTGCACCTCAAGCCTGGATGGGGTGAGAAGCCTAGTGCTCTGCTGATGCTAGTGCCGTCAGTCACTGCACTAGTCAGGACTTCTGCCTTAAGTGTGGTAAGAGCAGGGCAAAAGGCTCTCAGGTTCATAGTCTCTGTGCAAGTGTACAGCTCCAGGATGAGGCTCCTAAAACATTCTCATGTTATCTCACTTACAGATTTCTTTTTGAGACAAGTACTTGAGCAATTTTCATCGTAAGTGAGCCTGAAATATGAAGAAGTCAGCAGCAGCTGTTTTCTGTGCAAGATCCACAAAAGGAGTGCCTGACTGCAGGAGGACAGTATCGGAGTTGAAGCCACGATGTGGGCTCAAGTATGACTAGAACAGTGGTCATCACATTAGAGTTCAGTATTACTTTTCTAAACAACCATCTTAAAATAAGTGATGTGATGCAATCCATCCATGTTGCAGAGCAGCAGAACCTCTCTTACCCTTCAAGATTAATCTAAAGGGGTAGTATGTGTACAAGCACATTTTTGGGTAGGTGTGAAGGTTCATTCTGTGACTGAACAGTTTTCTATAGGGAGTAAACTGGCAATGTGAGACCAGGATGGAGTTACGGTGGTGTTTCTTTTTTTCCTTCTAGAAATATTTACAGTATTTCCACACAGGGTTTAAGTTTCCACATTAGAATGCTGGCAGCACTACTGGTGTTTGAACAGGGCAAACAAAGGGTATTGTTACTTACAACATGGCCAGGCAGTGACCGAATCTGCCTGATGACATACTGCCTTCTCACCACCTCTGTTTTTCTGTTAACAGAGCCCCCTGCCCAAAATCACCACAGGACTTCCATCAAGTAAGATGCTCAAAACTCCACAGAACAAAACATGGGTGACCTCATGTAATATAATACTGGCCCTGCTCTGAGGAGGTAGTTGGACACCAGCATGATAGGCCTGGGAGATCATTGCTTAGTTTATCTTCTGAAACTTACCCCAGTACATCCAAGGACAGTACATACTGATTTACCATCAGTAAATGCCAGATGTCTGGTTTTAGAAAAGGGAGGCAGTATAATCAATACTGTAATGCGGGGCTACTGATTCAAATGGTACATTTTTCCCTTCTCTTCTAGGCCTTAGCAAATATCTATGACGAGGAAGTTGTGCTGCAGTAAAGTATTTCTGAAAGACAGAAGCAGCTTGGGCACTGTGTGCAAGAAACTGTGTGATGTATGGGCAGCCCGAGGTGAGGTGGGACAACTGAAAAAACCCCATTTTAAGTAAAGTTTTGCCATCAATTTTACCTGTCTCACCTTTTGCAAAGGTGGGTGGTGATGACAAGGGAAGAGCTTTTGCTGTATTGTCCTCCAGGTGAGATGAGTTTTGCAAGCTGGATAGGGCTTTCTGAATGATTTCAATGGCTTCTGTGTGATCCATCTGCCTCAAAGCAGCAATCAACTCTTGAACTGTGCCACCAGAAACCTAAGAGAGAAGACACCAGATGTTTACCATCACCCAGGCTGGTAAAGCCAAAGGGCTGCACTGTTTCACCATGCAGGAGGACAACATTCTCAACATGCCCAAGTTCCTTAGAACTTGTTCCAGCCACATTACCTCATAGTTATCAAGTAGAGTTTTCGATGGGGAAGGGCTCAACCTGAAGGCATTATTAAGTATGCCAAGACCCAGTTTTTGTGCTAGAGTGGACCAGTTTTTGCTTGGATCAGGCAATTCCAACAGTTTGTAAAGCTGTGTCTTGGAACTTTCATTCAGCTCTCTCAAATGTCCTGGGGAACAGAGAAATATGCCATTTATTATTTATACAAATCATGCACGGTTCATTTCTAAGCAGAAACAAAGCCAAATTAAAGAGTATTTTAGTGTCCATCAAGCCCAGCGTTTACTAATGTAATACTGAAAATGTACTCCTTTGTGTCCTTCATTCTATGAATGAGAGGTGGAAGGGTAACTCTTCTCCCTCCCCATTTCAGTTACAAGCTATTGCAGGGCAATGTCTTCTGTGAGTACGCTTTCAGTACTCAGTTACTACAAGGATATTGTCAGTGTTTTTTACGGATGTTACCTTGCATCAGTAAATCCTCTGAAACCACTGCTGACTCATAGGGTTTGCCATTTAATATGTCATACACCTAGAAGAGAATACAGTAAAGTCAGTATTTAACAGAAACCCGGTTAGTGCCTGTTATCTTGACAAGTCTCAGTAGTATTGTATAAAGCCCTAATGCTATCTGTAAATGGGCAGTTTTTTCTGTCCCAGGATGAATTAAGATACTGCAGAAGACCTGTGCAAAGCTTGAGGGAGAAATCTCGAGAAATCAGTCTCCTTTGCCTTATGTCATCTGGCAACTGTTTTCAAGATACAGAGGAAACCTTTGAAGTAAATAACTAGCAGTAGCAGTGGCTATTTGAGGAGTTATGGCCTGTCTGCAAATTAGTAATTTAAAACAAAGCCTGGGTTAGATTTTCACTTAAGGCTAGTACCACTCCCCAGTCCCATGTGATTATAGAGATGCTCACTGCTTGTACTTACACTCATACCAAACCAATTGGACATAATCAGCTACTAAAGCACGGACCATGCAACCTCATCACTGTTTGGGTAGGACAGAAGAGTGTATTTTCCCTGCACACAAAGTCTGTAATTCTGAAGAATGCTTAAAATGCAGCAAAGAAACCCACTAGAGAGCATCTCTGAACATAGGCCTTCAAACACAAGCTGCCCAACCAGCTGAACACTTCACATTGAAGACAGACTGTAGTGCAACTATTCTAAGAAGTGCCTGGTTGCTCCTGTTTAAGTAGTCTGTAAAGTGGAGCTTCCTTCCAATGCTATTTCATGGGGGGGGCGGGGAGGAGTTGGGGGGTTGGTGTTTGGCTGAATTAGTATAAATTTTGATGGCGAAGTAGTAGCTTGTCACCACTGAAATAACTGTGGATACAGTGAATAAGCTGAAAGAGCTGAACTATTATTTACTACTAAAGTAACAGACCATGTACCTCACAGTTGGCTGCCATATCAAGTGGTGTTGTTCCAGGCACAATCCCCTCATCATCTTCATCATCTTTCACATCATCTAGATCAAACAATGGCTCAAAGTTCTCAATGTGAGGATTTGCACCTGGAAAACAGTGTGCAAAAAAATTCCTAAGAGAAGGCTTCAAGCTGCTTTGCAACAATATTTAAAATATGTAGTCTAAGTTCTGAATGGCAAATTGGCTAATTTAGCTGATTTTTTTATCAACTGAAGTTAGGTGCTGTCACAGCTCTGTATAAAGCTACTCTCCATTATAAAGAGGGGAAACACGACAAGTGTTAGGGCCCAACAATTGAGCTATGATTCTATCAACAGACTTTGAGTCCCATTCTGGGCTCAACTGAGCGTAGCATGTATGTGATGAAGCGATGCTGTGGTTCTTCTTCTTAGTGTCAGAGAAAGTGTGGGTATTATTATAAAGACCAAGCACGCACAGCCAGAGCAATAGGAGTTTGGATTTCTGTTTCAAAGGAGAAAAATCAGGTCTAAATACAATTGATACATAATTTCAATAAACATTCAAATCTAACCCTTCCACAGTGATATGAAATAGGAGACACAAAAAAGCTCATCTTTCAGTGACCTACTTTTTGTTTTTAAAGCAGGCCAACACTTATCCCAACAATGTAACAGGGTCTCTTCTTTGCTCCTTCAGCTATAAAAAACTACAAAGTTGTGGGTTTTTTTTTTTTTTAGAAAAAACTTCTAAGAGTGCTAAAGAGGCTTTTTCTTGACTAAAATTATTTGCCTTTTTAGCCGTTAGATGGTGCTAAAGAGTAGTACGGCACCTGCAAGTAGGATTTTCCTGAGGAAAAACAAACCTTCAGGCCTTAACATCACATTCCTCCTGATCATTAAAAGTTTACTGGCACATTCTTATCTGCTTGCAGCCTTCTAACCTGAATTGTCACTGTGAAAGAGAACTCTCCAGCAAAAATCTGTTTTCATACCTGCTGCTTTGAGAACTGCTGCAAATTTTGTAGAGCCCCTTGCAGCTGCTATGTGAAGAGGAGTTGTCCCATCATATGTAATGCTGTCCACATCTGCATCACCCTGGGTTTTAATTGAATGACAAAAAGAAAAGTGTTACACATCTGTACAATACAGCTGCAGAGACTCACGCACTGCTACTATGCAGGTAAGCACCATTCCATGCCTGTTTGAGTAAAAACTCTCATCATCGTCTGAAAAGAAGGAATTAGAAACTAACTCCCAGTTGTCTGCATTCAGGAACAGATGGCGTGCCCCAGTGTCACAGCAGGAGGCACAGCACAGAAACCCAAATAGGTCAGGCAGATAAAAGCCACTCTTCACTCCATGCGCTACTTCTGCCACACAATTACCCACAGCGCGTGGAGCCCGAACTGGCGTGCACAGGAATCTGCCTTCTTGCTGCTCCTTGTAAGAGCAGGTAGGCTGGAGGCACAGTCACACATGGATACTGAGGAAAGCTACCACAGCCAGCTGTGGGTGTGTAGCATTAAGCACACTATGATCAAGGTGTTTCAGAGATGAGACATATTCATAGATACACACAACTGTCTGTCTCTGTATGCACTCCTGTACCCACATTCCACTTCACACAGATGAAGCGGCTGTTCACGAGCAGTTTCACTGGTTGCTGGGATTACCCAGTGCAAACTAAATGCAGCAGATGTGCTCAGGTCAGGGTCACAAACTACATTTCACAACTTTTTTCACAAAACACAATTTCACAAAAGATTCACCAGCAGAACTGAACAGGTAGTAACGAGTAACATTAGCAATAATTTTGCCATTACACCAATTTAAGTAATCAAATCAATAAACAGGAAAACCCCCTTCTGTTCCTCTGAAGCACTTAAGGATTTTCAAGTGTTTTTAAATACGTAAGTGAAAAGATGTGGGAGAAAGAAATTCTGCCCTTACCTCAAGCAAAAGGCAGCCTGCCAAGGGGATGTTTTCTTGTTCAACAGCTAAATGCAATGCAGTTCGTCCTGATTTTTGTTCCTGAGCATTGACGTTAACTCCAGCAGCAATCAGCTGTTTGAGGCAGGACATGCTATTTGCCATCACCACCATGTGAATTGCACTGAGACCTGCACAAAACAAACCCCATCCATCATGTGCATTAGTATTTGAAAAACACAGAAATTGTCAGAGCAATGAGTTTTGAAGTGGCCGCACTGTGACAGCTGTAAAATGAGTGACAGTTACTGTAGTTACCTGAGCAGAAGTGACTGACTTTGCCTGCCTACACACTAAAACATGGTGTTAATAAACACATTCTTTGCGTATAAATTGGAACTAGTTGTGTTAGTGATGGCAAGCCAAAGCCATGCATGAAAAGAATAATCAGCAGAACACAAGGTGGAACAGAAGGCAGGAACTGAAGAGCTCACCTAGAGCAGCTCTTTGTCTCAAAGGAGAGAAGCTTTAAAAAGAAAATCTGCATCTTGGTACTAAACCAGCAGGTATCCTGCAGCAGCCCCATCTGCTACTGAACATCTCTGCTAGACAGAGTCTGGGGAATCATTGGTATTTTTTACTATCATCCTGTAAGGTCACACTGCTCTATCACCTCAAGATTACCTGCACCAGCCCAGAATGAGAATAACAACGCCTTGTATTTAAAAAACAAACAAAAGCCAACCCCAACCCAACCAACCACACAAAAACACCCTCTCTCTGAGGAACTTTATGCAGTTTTTTGAATCCCGTAATGACGTTTTTAGGTCAGACATTTTACAACATACTAGTGCAGGAGTACAACATCCGAATGACCCATGCCACTGAAAAACAGGACAACTGTGTCTTTGTGGTTAGTTTATAGGCTCTAGTTCTGTATGGTCACAAAGTACCAGATATGAAACTCAACAGAGGTCCAGAAATTAAGTTTGAGGGGATTTCATTTACTAGAGAGTAGGAGGAAACATTTCTTCTGGAGGGATTTTTTTTAAAGCAGTGGTTGCACAGGGTACCTCAGGAGGAACACAGTGCTTGATGTTTTGTGAGATTAAAGAGAATATACAGTAAGAATATTAAAATCCATACTGTGTCACATGGCCATTACCAATCTTTGTAATCTGTGTTCTGTATAATCAAAAAACCTACACATCTCTGTTCTCTCCCATATGACTACTGCAGGCGTGTAAAAGCCAAGGACAGGATATGCAGGATGGAGAAAGATGCAATTTCCAAGGTCTTTATCTACCTGTGCAGAGACACTGTGTTGGCAGGAAGTTATGACTGCCCCATCCACGGCAGTGTTCAAGGCCAGGCTGGACGTGGCTTGGAGCAACCAGGCCTAATGGAAGGTGTCTCTGCCCACAGCAGGGGGTTGGAACTAGATGATCTTTAAGGTCCCTTCCAACCCAAATCTTTCTGTGTTCTATGATGAATTGAGGTGTGTTTGTCAGGTAGTTATGTGTAAAACACAGCCACTATCTTTTCATACCTTCACCACTGGAAAGGTTGACCATCGTAGATATCTTCTTATGCTTGAGGAGTAGACCCAAAATCTTGTCGTCTCCTTCAGCAGCAGCTAAATGTAACACAGAATTACCATGGCGATCCAGAAGGCTGACATCTGCTCCAGCCTTCAGCAAGTCTTCTACCACCTCTGCCTGCTTTGTGATTACTGCCAGGTGCAAGGGGGTCTAGAAGTGACAGAAGCAAGCCATGAGAAGATAAGCAACAGCTACATCACTTCTACAGAAATCTCTTAAATCCATGAAAGCGCCTAGGGAGAGATGTTACTCTCCTTCAAAGCTAACAGAAATGAAAGCTGGCACGTGTATCTTTTTTTCTACTGCACACTACAAATAGGGTTTCTACTTACTAGAAATAAGAGCTGCTTTGCCAGTGTCAGCAGCTGGACTTTGGGAGGGACAAAGATGTTGCCTACTCTATAAAGCCAGGGCACTGACCTGGCTGTTCAAGCATTGCAGTGCAAGGCACTCGGGAAATGAGGTAATCCCTGTGCCCTAAGACACTGCAATGCTGCTTCCAGCTGCCCAATAGCCAAGTTCATGCCACAGAGGGAGCACACACACTTTCCAGGGCCTGCTCAAATCTGCCTTTGGCACTGAACTGTTATCTAATTTTGCTCCTAAACAGAAGGCTTGCAGCCATGGGCTTAGATTTTCTTTATCCCTTAAAATGACTGCACAGAAAAGAAAATCCTGCTGTTCTGTGCATGTGTCAAAGTGCAGAACAACTGCATTTACGCAGCGCCTGTCCAGCTAGCTGATTCCATTCACACGTTCTCCATTTTTGTGCAGGTACCTGCAGCACTGCTCTTGGGCCAAGAGGTTTCAAGTATTTCCAAAGATTGATTGTATCCTGCATTCTCAGCAGCCCTGCCAGTGAACAGTGTGACACAGAACATACTCAGAAACGTGTGCATTTAAACAGTAAGCATTCCAGTAAGGTTTTGGAAATCACGTTTCCAACACTAACATAATCTAAAAATTGCACAAGATTCCTTATATTAACAAAGGACTATAAAAAGAGACTCACTCCAGCTCTGAGCTTGTGTTTGTCAATAGATCTGTCAACATATTTGCAATTAATTACTGAATCTATTCGGTACATGTATGACTCAGCTTCCAGACTATCTACACAGAACAAAAATTCCAGCCCAAGCCTGCATTCCCTCCCACCACTGCCTTCAGGTTTTAAGCAGTAAGGCCGGAATAGCTACAGAGGGCCTGGTAGGTAGAGATTTATTTCTTGTGTGACGCACAGTTTTGAGTCCTGTTTCTGTTTAACAAGGGGCACAGGATTCAATTCAGAATCTCCTGCTTGCTTTCATCAGCCTCCCCATTTCAAACTTGCTTTATACGAACATAAAAATGAAATGCAAAAGGGAACAAAAAAGCCAAACCCTCTCTAGGACTATCTGTGTAGAATAAAAACCTGCCTTTACTGTTCAAAGCAAAATAAACAACAGGAATGTTATTGTACTGCTCTGTAACGTTCAGCTGGTTACCTCTAGGACAACCGAATGGCACGCATGTTTGAAAAGAGACTGGTTGCCAGGCAGGGTTCCACAGCTCTTTTTAAAGCCTGTCCAAGCTACAAAACAAAAAGCTCAGACTCTGTCACAGAGGAAGCTGAATCACAGAATGGTTTAGGTTGGAAAGGACCTCAGGATCATCTAGTTCCAACCCCCCTGCCACGGGCAGGGACACCTCGCACTAAGCCATGTCGCCCAAGGCTCTGAGAAGACAGAATTGGCAGTTTTTGTACTAGGTAAACGACACGGGGATGGGCTTTTTTTTTTTTGTTTGCTATAATGTGAATCTAGAAATGAAAGGGAAATCCTGGTGCTCATGTCATGGGCACAAATACCATCTGGGCTATAAGAAGGGCATAGTTTGTACAGCTTCCCTATGCTAACAGAAAAACGATGATGCAGCAACTGACTCATCATCCCGAGTTATCCTATGTTAGAAAGGTCAAGAGAGCCCAGAGCTGGCACACTGATCCACAAAGCTGGTTTAAAACCACAGAAGCCAAATAATGAAGACACAAACTGAAGAATTCTGTATCTTTGTCCTGTTTTTACGATTAACGCATGGAGACATTTTTGTTCACATCAAGGGAAGGTATGAACTAGGCCAGTGAAAACACACTTTTGCTCCTCCACCACCTTACACCTAAGCTTGTTTGCCCTACAGTCTGATCGGGGCTCATTCCAACAAACAAAAGAGAAGTAGGACAGATAGTAAATTGTGCAATTTCTTTTTCACTGGCTGAACAATCCACAGTATTTATACCACCACCACAACTGTGTACCTGATAAAGGTCGTTTCTCATGTTAATGATGTCATTGTAATTCAAATCAGCCATCACTTCCAAGAGGTCCCTCACCAGCTTAGTATGAAGGTGGATAATTGCTAAATGAAGGACACTGAAACAAACAAAAACCAGATTAACAAATGCACACGATTTTCAAATTGATTATAAAAATTTTAAGGTTTTGCTGTAGATCTGATTGAATTCTAATAGAAACACTTGACTATTGGAGGTCACAATTTCAGCACTAAATATCAGCAACCTAAAACGAAGGCCAACATTAAAATGCTTGTCAGAAGGTAACTGTGTTTCACCCTTCGATCATGAAAGCACAACTAGTAGTCTAATAAATACAAACACTGGAGCACAAAATAATTGTTTCAGAACTTGCTGAAATCCCCAGAGTTCATGCTTTGAATTATGCAGCCCTGAACACCTCTCACTGTGAAAACCTTCCTTCAGAATTTCCACAGGCCTCTCTGCCATCAAAGCAGATTTTCCCTTGGGGGTTTCCCCACATCTGTGGGTTTTTCTTTCCTTCATTTTCAAACAGAAGAATGACGAAGGACTCGGCCGGGTGACGAACAGCCACAGGGTTTGCAGCAGTGGCCAGAGACCTCAAAGCCAAAGGAAAAACCTGTTCTGGGACATGAGTGACTGCATAGCAAGACACTTCTTCACCACTTCTACTGGGTGAATGTGATGGCCTTTCCCGTGCTCTTCTCCTTCACCACCAGCCACAGTGGCTGTACTTGCAAAAGGGCACCAGGAAAATAGGAGGTTGTGAATCCCACATCCCATCTCAAACAGAGCTCTGTTTGTCTCGTTCCCTTTGGACTTTATTTCAAAGCCATGCCCTTTGTTTTGAAACACATCCTACCAAGCTCTCCCTTAACAGATGCTGGCCAACCCCTAGACTCATCTTCCTAGCATATTGCTGCTGGGACACAATATCAACATTGGACATCTGGCATGTTTGTTATGCTGCTCCACATATACCTAAATATACTCACATCTACATTTCCATCAGAAAAACAAGAAGTTCCTTGCCATTCGGGGCATAGAGTCACTTTGAAATTGAGACTGAGAGCGCTCAAACCCAGAAGATATTTTAAGTGAAAAAAATTTGATTTCTAAACCAAATTAATCCTCTAAGGGCCCGTTTTATTGGTTCTGGACACTGCCTTAGGCAGTACCACAGCACTTTCCCTCCTTCAACTCTCCTGTGCTGTTCAAACATTCCTACCACTACTATAAAGAGCTGTTCCTCAGCTCTCTGGTAGTTATGTCTTCTTATGATCTGTCATGCTGACATTTTATTTCCAAATCTCACTTCAGAAACAATTTGCTCTTTTACTGCCTTTAGTTCTATTTCCTGTAGCAAGTACTTCAATCTTACCCTGCCGCTACATGTGATGCTGTAAAGACATGCTGACTAGACCACGAAAGAGCAAGACAATTCCATTTCTTAAACAGTCCTACATCAAGAACTGCATTTGAGCCCCGCTGTGGAGGCAGAATGCTGTAACACCATCAGGCTTCTGGAGCAGAGCAGTGGTACTGGTATAAATGCAGCAACAGCTGGTGTCACTCAGTTCCCACTGTAAACATGCACTGGTCATGGATTCATGTGTTTTGTCTTAAAGCCATAAAACACAACAGAGGGTCCCAATAAAGGCATTTTCATTCCCCACACACTACTTTGATGAAAGATGAGCAAAATTGCTGACAGCAACATTTGTTTAAAGGCTTAAGCAAAACTGCTAGAGTTTTTGCCATCTAATTTTCATTATTAAAGTGAAAAATAGAGAAATTGGTTTATGGATTTTTATTTTTTTTATTTTTAAAAAACAGCTCCTGGAAGAAAGAGCTGGAGGAGAGTCTCCAAAACTTTGTTTTGTTAAAAAGCCTCGGAGTAATTTAGATGTATTACATGCTCAAAGAGTAAAATACATCCCAGAAGAAAGGCAACATGAGCTTGAGCCACACGTATTTGCAGGTACTTCCTGACTCAGGAAGAAAACAACTATTTACCATCACTCTGGAAAGTATTTTGACTTTGTCCAAATCTGATGGGCACCTTATTGACATTTAAATGCAAGTCCTACCCCAGCCCATGCTTTTAATTACAAAAAAAAAAAAACAAACTCAGAAGCCATATTGTCCCAAGTGTTTGCAGGTTTTGTTGCTAGCTCCTGCCTCATTCATGTTCCTGCTTTCCTCAAAGCAGACATCTGGTTGCCAACCGGAAAGCAAAAGTAAAAAAGCAGCTATCTCTGATTTTGCAGTGTTTTATTAATAACCCGAGACCTATTTTCACTCAAAGTGGAGGGAAAGTTGAAGCCTCTCCAAGTAATCCAGCAGTGGGATAGCATGTCTCAGTCACTTGTAATTTTCCATCCAGCTGGACACCTTAAGGCTTGTATGGCTTCTACTGTAAAAGCCACTGCAATTTAAGGAAACGTAAGTGATCGCACAGCCTGCCAGCTAAAAAGTGAGGATGTGATAATGTCACTTCCTTATTCAAGAGATTATCTTTACATGTGTTCAAAGCCACTACTGCTGAATTTGCTTTTAAATAACCACTAATCATCAGTTCCTCACTGTATTTCAGTCTCTGAGTCCCACAGAATCTGCACAGCTGAGAGGAACAAAATGCATTTCTACTCCAGCTCACATTATTGAAGGACTGATATTAGCAAATATTAGCAGCCAAGCTGGCCACAGACATCCATGCGATCTCTTGGAAGACAACAGTACAGTACAGATGTAAGCAAGAACAAAATACTGTTCTCTTAGGAAGACCTTGGTGTCAGTGACAGAAAAGCAGCAGGGACCCTCCTGCAGGGGGACCCTCCAGAGTTTCTATGTTTCCTGGTGCATCTGTTAACTTAAAGCTTCCTGTGAACACTTGTAAGTCCAGCATGGCACAGAAAGCACTCTCCTTCAGCACAGAGCTGAGGATCCCCATCAACTGTGTATCACGATGAAGGCCTGCTCAGCCAAGATTTTAAGTACAAGAAGGCTCACAGCATGCTCAGCATACCCTGAAAGACCAGATTACTTTCTGACAGGTACTGACTGGATGAATGACCTTTGTGGTGTGAGTCACTTTTCTGCAAATGAAACAAAAAAATGTCTAAATTGCAGCTGTACCTCCCCCAAACAGCACAAAGGAGAATGGTGTTTATCTGATGAGAGCAGTGCTGCAATCCATGGCCAGCACCCACAAGGGACACAACAAACTGACTACACCATCCTGCTATCAAAACCATGAGTTTCAACCCAGTTAAGTACTGGCCAACTTACTTGTCTCCGTTATCATCCTGGACAGCAGTGAGATGGCGCTGAACAGCCAACAGCATCTTCACATCTCCGGTTACAGCATAATCAAAGAGAGCATTACAGTGACGCTTGGCAAGCTGCATGGCCTTCTCCAGGAACAGACCATCTGCAAAACAGTTTTGCCCTTGTCAGTTTGGTTGTCTACCTTGCAACACCACCTTCCTTGGGCAGGCATTTGTGCTGCCAAAGCAACACAGTGTGCAGAGCACCAAGCATTATCCACTGATTCACTGGGACAGGTTGCTATGTACTCCTGAGAGGTAAGGATAGAGGGAATGAGCCCCTCTCCTACTCAAATAATGCAGTCTCTCCTGCTTTGAAGCAGCAGCACAGAGAGTCTGCTCACCTATGTAAAACATTCCAGCGTTTACAATGCTTAGCATTTGTAGCATCCTGATTTTAGATTTATAAAATATACAGCCACTGAGATTTTGGAAAGCAGAATTTGTCATGGTGGGGAGGCAAAAGGGAGAAAAAGGAGGGCAGAAACTCATTTGTGGAAAAAAGTCACTCTAGAGGCTCTGTCAATACCTTTGTGGCTGTGTATCAGCAAGAAACTAGCAAAAATAAAACAGATGAACTTTCAAACCACTGTTGTCATTCTTGGAAGCAGTATCATCTGAAACCAGCCTGTATTTTGAATAGTTTCATGTTTCTATAAAACCTTGCAAGGTTAAAAATTACTAGAAGCAAGCAAGTAAAACAGACTTTGTCGTTTAAAGCACACATAGGGAAAGATTACCCAGGATTTCCAGTTACACAAAACCAGGCATTTGCACTGGGTCAGAAGCATATCCCTCACAATTACAAACACATAATTTCTGCAAGCCAAAGACTTACCTATCTATGAAGCTTATTGTTCTATCAAATCCATCACTGTGGTTCATGTACTATATGCCCAGGCTGATACATTTATCTTTGCTATTTACCTCATAACACTAAGTAATAGCATTAAATGGACATTAGGTTGAGGAGACATATCCAGGGCAAAGGGGATTAAGCAATTCATCCTTTTCTCATTACAGACATTTCCAAAGACCAAAAAACTGGATGCTGAAGCTCCCTGGTTTCCCTTATCAAGCACACAGAAAAGATATCTTTCAAAACACTATGAAATAGCATCTTTTAGCCTAATACCCAAATGTTCTAACCTACAAGAGCTATTTCATGAAGCGTATTCTTCTGCATCTATTCTTCATATAATCTGGAGCTTGAAATTCCCTCTTTTCATGCCATCTTAAAAGATAAAAACACCCAGTCAATTTCCTGCCTACAATGTTCATTACTTGGAAACCAGGTCAACATTTCAGTCCCCTCCTTGGTGACCGATAAATGGACATTATCATTTCTTCACATTGCAGCAAATGATTCTGCTCTCCAAGTCAGTCATGAGATTTATCACAGCCAGAACTGCAAGCAGTGAGCTCCTCAGCTTTTCTCAGGAGCACGGTCTGTTTCTCAGATCACAAGAAGCTACACCTTGGAGCTTTTTAAAACTAAAACCCATCTGCTATGCAACTCTGGTTTCCCAAGCCACAGTTTCTAGTGCTGTTAAATAGCAAGCATCACACAGGGCTGACACACACAAGATAACGTGCCCTCTCCCTCACCAAGGAAACAAGAGTGGTCTAGATCACAGTGTGCTTGGTAAAGGCCAAGAACAAAAAATTCTTTCCTGCTCAATTCCAACCACTACCACGTCTCTCTAGTCCAACTGCTGGTTTTTTAACATTATGAGAAGCACAATTACTGAAACCCTTTAAAAAAGTGATCATCAACTCTTCTGAAAAAACAACCCAGGGAAAGGACATCTTACTGTCTGCGAAAGGGCCATTTACAGTCTTTATATATTTTACAACTTTGCTGCTAAACTGTGTCTACTGACTCCTCTTGCCTTCCTCCCCTTTTGTCTGATGTCTAAGACTTTGCTACCCAACAGTGTTACTTTACTGTGTGTTTTTCACATGGGAACATTTACATTTTAAATTCAAACCTTTAATGCTACTTTGCACGCCATTTAACAGTAGAATTGCAGGGAATTGCAACTATCACGCTAACATCCATTTACTCGTTCATTAAAGCCTATCAAGTATCAGAAGCCAAGACAACTGCTGAATTGTATGCCTTGTACCTTCACTGCTTCCAGTGTTCCTCATACAGGTTTATTATAAAGCAGTGTTAAATGTGCCCAGCGGGCTAAGCTATTTCTTCTCCTTGCATGACAAGCAGAAGCTCAGTTGTCCAGAGGCAGTACAAAGGTGGAAGATTATCTACAGCACTAGGTATGGGGAAAGACCTTAGACTTGGGGGAGTGGAATCCCTCCTGTCAACTCCAGGAGGAATTACCGTATTTTGAAAACAGCAAAGACATTTATGGAATTTCCAGACCTTTAGCACCAGCTTTGCCCATACTGCTGTTTGATCTACTCTGAACACATTTACTTGCTCACTTACCCTGCCGCCTCCAGTTTGCTTCATTTACTTCACTTTTACAGAAAGAAGCAGCATCATCCTTCTCCTCATGATAACCAAAGGTTCTGCACTCATTCCTCTCCATAGTTTCCACTTTCACATCACGTTTCATGTCCCGTTTGTCACTTTGTTTGTCAGAGCCCTTCCCATCTTGTTCAGCTGTGCTATTTGATAGTCCTTCAAACAAAAATTAGTACCATTAGTGTCCAATACTGCTGCTCTTTTATGCAAGTGATAAAGCTCAATCAGCCAACACCAAACCCTAAAAAACTCTATACAGATACTGATTTTGACATTGGTGTTATCATTAAACATTTATGAATCATAGTACTCCAGATGCCAACACACATGGACAGACATAGCAATGTAACTTGCTCTAAAGTGATGTTATGTTTCTGACAGCCTCTCCTTTAAAGATAAACTTTTATATGTAACAACAGATATACTTCTCCTTCTATGATACAAGTATGCAAGTCTGAAGTATTCCCAGGAAATCTAGCTGAATGATGCAGATTTACTTTATTCTTCTGACTGCAAATTCATCCCCAAGACTTTGGAACTAAGCACAGAGTATTCAACCTGTAATTACTTCCTTATTTTAGGAAGCCAAGAATGTCATTATTGACTTTATCTTTTCCACCGACTTTTATGTTACTTCCCTGGGCTGTTGTGTAGTACCAGACTGCGGTGACAAAGGAAGATACCTTTTCTCTGGTCTAGTCCTTGAGTCACCTGCAAACCAGCATGTTCAAGCAAGCAAAAGGGCTGTTGCTTGAAACATACACTGAATACAGAAGCACATGGACGGGTTTTGGCAACTCCTTTCAGGAGTTAGTAGTAAAAAGGAACACACACACAGCTATTGAATAGACTTGGAGACAATAGAAGAGAAGCAGGGCAGTATAATCTACACAACCCCCTCTGCTGGCAATGGTTCTACAAATGAAACTGATTCTAGGGGGTAAAACCAGCCCTCTGCAGCATGCTTAGCTAGACCTGCATGACACTTCAGCTCACACTGTAGAAGAAAATAAAGATGGTCAAACTCAATTTGACTTTTGCAGGAACAACATTTTCCTGTTACCATGTTTCATTCCAGCATTGGACTTTGTTGTGCCAGGGTGGAAATGCATCCCTCCAAAAGCAGAGTATCCATATGAAGGATAACTGAACCCTAAAGAAATGAAAAAGATTAAGAATTGATAGAATTACACCATAAAGCGATGATAATACCATCTAGAACACTGATCCCAGAGAAGTGAAATTTTTTGTACAACCTTCTGTTTTATTCAAGCCAATTAAAATAATTTTTCCAGGCTGAAAGTGAACTACCCTCCAAAACTCCAAGAAATTCTAGATGGCTGGCTAATGACACGCTCTATCCCAACATCCTTAAGTCCACATAAACGCTAGTATGCTTCATCTAAAACTCAGCCAAGACTTCACATGCTACCTCTATGCTTTCAAATCTTTGTGATTACAACAGGTATGTAATTCTGGTGTTACAGATGTGCTGCTAGCAATGCAGGTTCGTATATGAAAACTGCTGCTCTGTCCCCTGCTCTAAAAGAAAGGGTTGCAAAGGTATTGTGGTTGAGATGACATTTGTTGATCTACAAGATTTTAATGTTCTGCTGCAAGAATTAAAGCAATGCTGTTATGATCACGCATCTCGGATACACCCTGGATTCAACAGACAGAGCACAGTAGAAAATTTACTAAATAGTATCGCAAACTTTTTAATAATTCTTTGCACTAACAGGGTTAATTTGTCAAATTCTACTCAAGGTCCTAGAAAAAATTAAGAACCTGTTCAATTTTAAGCACCTAAGATGGTACTTCGCTGAGCTTCTCATGAATTTCAGTGCCTTTGAGGCCCCAGGAAGCAACGAAGCTAAGGTGTGATGGGATTCCTGACTAAACTCCCTCAAATAGAAAGGTGTTATCTATGACCTAAAGCTTCAAGAAAGAGGGGAAAAAAAAGTCACCAGGAGCCTTATAACCAAGTAGTAAAAGGAACTGATGAAATATTTAGAAAGCAAGGAGATACTTGACTGAAATGAGTAACACTGGTATAAAGACAGGAGAGTTAGGTCTCATCTACCTAGAAGGAGACAAAATACTCATCACGCTTTAAAAATCAGAATAAACACCTGTCCTGCTCTCAAAGTAGAACCCCTTCCCCTTATTGGCCAAAACTGTTGCCTTACCAGAGCCAGCACCGCCACCTCCCCCTCCATACATGCCACCGCCTCCTGCGCCGCTGCCTCCACCAAAGCCATCAGAGAAGTTTGGCATGAGCTTCTGTCGTTTCCTTTGCACTTCTTCCTTATCTGGGTTAGAAGGAACGGATGGGATAAGGAGTCACTCTTACAAGTGGACACACACAGAGCGGGATGTGAATACATAAAGCACTGCTTAAGTTTACTAGTTTATAAAGGAAAATGCAGTGCTGTGGAAGAGTCAAGTCTCTTCGAACTCCAAATAACAGAACAAGTTTGTATATAATGAAGCAGTGAGAATTCCTGTGAGAAACAAGCTAGTGCCAAACCCCCAGCAAGACCAACAGCATCACTTGGGCTCATGTGGTCTCTTCAGTTATGTCAAGTGCCTTGTGCCCAGACTGGGAGGGGAATGTGCAGAGGTGTCTTAGGGGGCTAAGAGTTTCCTTGGAAAGTGTCTCATCTACTTAGAACTCTGGAAATTGGTGGTCCTAAAATCCTTCTATGTCTAAGCCAAGTCATAAACCAGCACAAGTGCCCCAAACCACAAACTTGTTCAAGAAAATTTGCCTTTGAGAAATACAAGCCCTGGCTTTTCTACTAAGCAAATCTACTTCAGAAACAGATCCTTATGAAAGGGTCAGCAAATCACAAGGCACTTTGATTTCTAACAGTGCAGCATACCTGCAGTGCCCTTTGAACTTCTATTTTGGGGTAAGGATGGCATGAAAAGGTGAAAACAATGTTTGCTTGAAATGATTTACTTAAAATATCAGGAAAGCTACCAGAATGAAGATAGTTTGTTTTCAGGCAGGACATTACACTGTCAAACCATGATGATCAGAGATAGAAAAGAAAGCCTAAATATTTTATAGTGTGATAGTACTTAGATCCCTTGGAAAACAAACCACAAAGATTTCAAGGACTGGGAAAGTGAAAATGTGAGAGCTACCAAAGAGCTACAAAAGTAGGGATACAATCATTAGGGGTTAAATCCAGTACAGCTGCTGAGGAAAGAACAAAATATCCTTTGTCCATTAATCTAGTAGTTTTCAACAGCCATATGACAAATAGAGATTTCATGCACAAGCACATCAGTCAGTGCATCAAATGAGATAGAGGAATACACGAACCACTATACTGAAACGTATAAGTGCATTACTTCCAGGCATACATGATCTGTAAGTATGTATGCATGCACACACCAGGCATACTCACACTGAGGAGGACAGAAAACTCTAGAGAGCAATCTAGTCAGAGAAACAAACAAAAAATGCACATACACATGTCTAAGTTTGTTTGAACACTTCCAACAAGGGAAAAAAGCAGCCCCTAAATGGTAATTTCATGATTAGGTTGTGTAGGGGATCTCAAAATGCACATAACCATGTTGAATTAATTTTACTCCATTAAGAGGCACATGCAAGAGGTTTACTTCCAATCTGGCAGCTTTGCTCTGCAGTTGTACGCTTCCACCTTCCATAATACTTGCGCAAAATTCCTGAAATCACTGCCAATACAAAATCCTTCAGCAACTCTAAGGTTTTGTGAATGCATGCTTTCTGCTATTTTATTGTAATAAGCGTACAGTAGATTGATTCCCTTGGACATCAACCAGCATCCCTTTCTCCTCAGCTCTCCTTAGTCTATCACCACTAATACATGTATTTTAGAGACTTTGACAGGGTATTGATTTTGGCTCTGAAGACATGCAAGATTAAGACTTAATAGCGTAACCTGCAGCAGGTAAACTGTCCAGCAGAAAGACTGTCTTAGTACAATGAAACACTAATTTTGACTTGGACCTCTAGACATTTCCATATCATTAACATTACTGATATTTAAAACCATGATTACTGCTGCCATTCATGCCAAACACTTTAAAGGGCACAGATCTGCTAGTTAAACTTCTTTTCACTAACAACTTATGAAGTGTGTCTGATGCCAACTATTCTACTTCCAATAAGCAACTACACAAGAGATTAAAACAGCACTTTTCCTGCTCTCACAAGTGTCTTGGGCATACTTAACTAGTACAGTGAAAAACATCAGTGAGGTTGCGAGGCATGATGGTAAAAGGAGAAAACTGCAAGATACATCCTTTTTTCACCAGATAACCACGAGTCTTTGGTTTAACGTTTCATCTGAAAGTACTGTCAGAAAAATGTCCTCAAATACTACTTTGCAGAAACTCAGAGGAAGAGAGTGCCATCTACTGTATGGACAGGCATGTGTGCATATAAGGAACACACAGGGAGTAAGCCTCGCAAGGCAAATATGCATGGATTTACTGCCTACCAGTCCAACAAAAAGCCTACCAACCCACACAGAGCTATCATGGTTCACGTTGCACCAAACAAGGAGACAAATACTCTGTTTTCTATAAACATGTATTTCCTTGTCTAGTGGGCAGGTCCCTGAGGATTGGAGGCTGGCCAACGTATAAAAAAGGCAGGAAGGAGGACCCTGGAAACTACAGGCCTGTCAGCCTGACCTCAGTGCCAAGGAAGGTCATGGAGCAGATGATTCTAAGTAGCCAGCAGGGGAATCACTGGCCCTGGAAGTGTTCAAAAACCATGTAGATGAGGCCTTTAGTGACATGACTTAGGGGTGTCTTGGCAGTTCTAGGGTAATGGTTGGACTTGATCTTAAAGGTCTTTTCCAACTTAGCTGATTCTATGATTTTATATAAAAGAGGTTTAATGAATTACCTTTGATTTCTGGATAGTAGAGAAAAGGCTTTGGTTCGCTTGTTTCTAGATCAGATTTGCGACGCAGTTGTACAAATACAGATGCTGGTTTTGTGATATTGACATCTCGATACTTGGGTGTTTTGAACACAATAGCAAACTGTGAAGAAAACAAGGATAAGCACATCCATCATGGAGTACAGGTTTTGAAAACTTTGGGTTTACATTTGGGTTGTTTATTAAGAGTTGGTTCATGGATTGTGAGGCAAAAACTCTTAGCAAAAAGCTGCAACAATAAACTTCCATTTTAGCTTTCAGTTGCACTTTTCAGTTCTGAGTCCTAAAGCTTTTTGGGAAAGGCAAAACTGCCACAGAGAGTTTCAGATCATGACGCTATCACTGCTGCATTGTTTGTCCCCACACCATTTAGCATCTCTTCTGTGACTTTTTCAGTGAGTTCACAGGGACTCTGAGAACCTTTTATATATCCTATCCTAATTTATACTGGTGCGTGTGGTGTCCCTGCTCATGGCAGGGAGGTTGGAACTAGATGATCTTAAGGTCCTTTCCAACCCTAACTATTCTATGATTCTATCTCCCAATTTCCTCACACTGCATTCCTAACCTGCCTAGTGACCTTATGTATGTCTTTAAAGAACAGTTAAAAGTGTATTATTAAGTAACCAACAAAAGAAGAGGTTAGTACAGGATACAGATGCTTTCACCTCATTTACTAATTATAATATAATCCTAATTTACAGAGATAAAAAAATAAACAACAAATTATGTGCTCTGTTACTTACCTGTCTATGTACATCTGTAGGAGAAAAGTCTCCAAAGCCTTCCCACATACCACCATTCTCATCCTCCTCATAGAAACGTATTTGAATATCATCTGCAAAGAGTGAAAGAAACACTCCTTGGGATGTTCGTTCATTTGTTTATCCTTCGGCTAAGTTTATTTCAGATAAAAATCAACACGGTCAGTTCTTGGCTGGTTGACAGTATTACATAATACATGAATTAGCACCTTTACACATTTTATGAAAAATAACTAACACATTTTTGATATTATTTTTAGATCAGCCGAATTCTAATGGCTTCGCTGAAGTTGTTAGTTACTGAGCAGTAAAAGGAGAACTAGGTTCAATATCTCTTCCTATTCTGGGGCTATAAGACATTCCAGAGGAGCTTTATTTGGAACAAACATGCAGGGAGGGGAGAACTTAAAGCGTGAAATGTAGAAACCACCCTCTCTCCTCCACCAGTTTCAGTTCAAAAAACACTGCAGCAAAACCTGAAGTGCCACAGTTCAAGTTCCGCTTGCTGCTGGCAGAGTGCCACTCTGGGGCTGTGGCTCAGAGAGACAGCACGGGTGTGAGCGAGTGGCATGTCAGCAGTGATCCCTCGCCCCCCAAACACAGCATGGGCCAGAAACCTGTGACATGGCTTCTGCTCCTCTAAACAGGTTTTCTTTTGGTCTCTTTGTATTTATTTATTTATATTTTTTTAAGTTTTTGGGAAGTATCACATTAGCGTATTCCTTCCTAGCACTCCTGGTGAGAAAAACCTAGAAAAAGCTCATTCTCTCTTAGGGTGCCTGAGGTGGGACAGCCTTTCAGAGCAGACAGACTGCTTCCTCTGGCCCATTGCCTGCTAGCCTCAAGACCATGAACCACCATTTCCAGTCCTGCTGTCCTGCACGCTCAAGTTCCTTCAGGCAGGAGGTTTCTGAGAGCCGTGAGGTCAGGGGAAACCCTGATCTGGCTGAGGGGAAACCCCACCTCAGGGCTTCCACTGAGTCAGACATTCATTTATTTATTTATTTAGTGCACAAGAGTTATGTTTCATCTCAGCCCATCTGACAGCTGGGTGTATACATGCTACTGAAGAAAACAGCATTTTCAAAGCCCCTAAAAGCCATTAGAGCCCCCTCTCATTCAGAAGTGGTAGAAGAAAGAGAGGTGGAAAAAGACAGCCTGTATAAACAAAACGTCAGTGAGATTTTAACAACATATGCAGGGACTGATTCCAAACAGGCAAGAAGAGCGTACTTTCTCCACCACGCAATTTATATCAGGGAGTCCCAAGTACTACCTATAGCTGAAATGCAAAGGATTTCCCTCACTCCCGTTTTTTTTCTTTTAGTTCAGCCCCCATGCTATAAACAACCACATTAACCATTATCTTCCTATCCAGAAACAAAGCATTCTAATCCACGCAGGCCCAATCCTGACACATTCATAGCCATGAGCAGAGATTACCAAAGTAAGTCAGTGAGAAGTATCTGTTTACACTGAGTAATCTTCACCATTAGCATAAACCCAAAGTTACTAGCAGTAGTGCTGAACACATTCAGTTCCCATCAGTGGTATACAGAGAATGCTCATTCTTACTGTTTTTCATCAGGAACTTAATAATAAATCAGAAACTTCAACATAATTCAGAGCAGGTGTTAAGTTAATGGAGTCAAGCATCCCCCAGGACCTGCCACCCCAAAAACCCCAGAACATGGGCAAGGGCAGAAATCTGAGAAGAACAAACATGATACCATGGTCTCTGTGGAGGCAACACAAGCTGGATTTGCTTTGCAACAGATTGTTTTGATTTATTCACTTTCTGGACTGCTGGCCTGACTTCCAGAAAGGCTGAGTGCTTACAATTCTTGCTGCACTACCACAGCAGGAGAATACTAAGGCAGCACAGCAGGCTTCACGTGTACTCCAGATGAACACCCTGGCATGCCTTACAATACTCAGGACTCCTACCTTTCTGAACCTTGTCACACAGAAGGTAAATCTCTTCTCCTCCAGTTACACACCCTGCTGTTCTGTCCATTCTGACGATTTTTAAGTTGGAGGCATTGGGAGCTTCTATTGAAAGGAAAGAGTAAAAGAAAATGCTTACTTTCATAACAGTTTTAAATGAAAATGAAAAAAAAACCCACAAAAAACATTACACACAGAAATGCAATAGAAAGACAAGTCTCTAATATAACCTATGTAAATTTGTCCATGTTTTTAAATATGGATAAATCAACAGTTTTTCATCTGAAAGGCATTATCTTTTATCATCTAAGCTTTAACTAAACTGTCAACTATAAATGGCCCTGGCCATTCCAGCACAATTACTGCTGGAATTACTGCGCTACTAAAGTGGCACAGCAGTGAACTGCATTCAGCACTCTCCACCAGCAGTAACTTCACGAGGGCATTACAAGAGAACATACTTTTTTCCCTGTTTTCTTGACAGCATGACACTCACCATTTCACTGCAATATGCAGTTCTTTGCTTTACAGTGGTAAAAAAGCTCACCTCCACAGATCTTAGTAGAGGCATCAGTCCTCAAGACAGAACAATCATCTGGTAAGTAAAAGCAGCTGTGATAGACAGTTATGCTACCAAAAGTTGCATCTACTCTGTGGGAGAGGCTTGAATGGTGCCAATGAAGAGTGTTAGGAAAAACCCCAGAAACCAAGAACTGGAATTAATAAATGTTAATTCGGAATTAATGAGCAAGGATTTACCTTGGGGGCTCAGCAACTAGTAAATGACATCTCTGAAGCAATTTAAAACTGCAGAAACATGCATACAAAATTTCCCCTCTATTCATACCCATAGTTGGAGTCAAAATTTTGATGGTCAGGTTCAGAACTTCAATAGTTTTTGTATGTATGACTTGAAACACACTCTCCCCTCTGTTGATGCTTTGTCCTCCTCTGCCTCTTTGCTTTTCAAATACTTTCTATCATTATGCAGGTGTGAGACAGAGTACGGAAAACAAATGGAATCTGTAATTCTTTCTAATGAAAAATCAAGATTCCTTAAAGACACTGTTTGTAAATCACCTCAGCCTCCAGATGAATAGACTGCGTTTTCTCATCCAGAAAATGCACATCATGTGTGCTATAAGAGCAGACATCACTTTTTCACTCAGTGAATATATGCAAAATGGCTGCGCTACATCACTACACTCCCCAGTTAATAGCAAAGCTGACTGCCTTTGAACAATTGCATTTAATACTTCTTCATCTAGACTTTCTCCTTAAAAAATGATGATATAGGCATGACTGTTAAGCGAAGAAAAAAAGTACTTTTTCTGAGTCATTAGAGAATGACTATCAGGAACATGGTAAACCACAGCCACAGGGAAGAAGACTCAGGCAG